ATCGCAAGATGAGATGGCTGAACTCAAGACATATATTGATGAGAATTTAGCGAAGAATTTCATACGCCATTCAAAATCTCCAGCAGGAGCTCCAATTCTATTCGTAAAGAAAAAAGATGGATCTTTACGAATGTGTGTTGATTATCGAGGACTCAACAAGATCACAATCAAGAACAGGTATCCATTACCTTTGATATCAAGACTCCTTGACCAGTTGAATCAAGCTAAGATCTATACAAAAATAGATCTAAGAAGAGCATATAATCTAATACGGATCAAAGAAGGAGATGAATGGAAGACTGCGTTTCGAACCAGGTATGGACATTTCGAATATAATGTCATGCCCTTTGGACTCACGAATGCACCAGCTACTTTTTAACATCTCATGAATGATGTATTTCGTGAATTCTTAGACAATTTTGTCGTCTGCTATCTAGACAATATCTTGATCTATTCTAAGAACGTCGAAGAACATGAAATACATGTTCGTCAAGTATTACAAAAACTTAGAGATGCAGGATTGTACGCCAAGATGGAAAAGTGTGTATTTCACACTACTCAAGTTGACTTTTTAGAATACATCATTTCAAATGATGGTCTCATGATGGATTCTAAGAAAGTCCAAACAATCATGGATTGGAAGATTCCAAGGACAGTAAGAGATGTCCAATGTTTCTTGGGATTTGCCAATTACTATCAGATCTTCATCAAAGATTTCTCACAAGTTGCAGCTCTACTTACACGCTTGACTAGTAGAGATAATTCCAATGGAATCAAGAAGCGCAAGCAGCATTTGAAGCCTTGAAGACATCGTTTGTCTCTGCACCAGTCTTATATCGTGTTGACTTTTCCAAGGCATTTTTTATGGAAACAGATGCATCAGATTTTGCCTTGGGTGCAGTTTTATCACAAATGGAAACAGATGACAAACTTCATCCGATAGCTTTTCATTCAAGAAAATTCTCAACAGTCGAGATCAATTATGAGATCCACGATAAAAAACTTCTTGCGATCGTGGATTCCTTTCAAGAATGGCATCATTATCTAGAAGGCGCTTCTAGTCCAGTCACTGTATATACAGATTACAAGAACCTCGAGTATTTCATGTCAACACGCGTGTTGAATCGTCGTCAAGCTCGTTGGAGTATGTCTTTGTCAAGATTCGAGTTCATTATCACTTATCGGCCAGAAAAACAACAAGGTTTATCCGATGCCCTATCTAGACGTTCTTATTTTACACCAAAAGAAGGAGATGCAGCTTTTGAGCAACAAAGAATGGTCCTCTTGAAACCGGAGTAATTTCATCTCCGAGCAATGAAATCAACATTGACTGTTGATTCAACTTTTCTCAAGCAAATCCAGTCCAGTATGTCCTCAGATCCTCTTGTTCATGATATCGAGAATAATTCTTCCAAGTCTCATGATCCTTCTAAGTTCAAGTTCAAGAATAATCTATTATATTTTGAAAGATGCCTATATGTTCCAGAATGAGAAGCACGTTTACGTGTTCTTCAAGCACGTCATGACTTTCCAGCAGCAGGGCACTTTGGATATAATAAGACTTTGGAACTCATATCAAGAGATTTTTGGTGGCCACAAATGTGGAAATCAGTCAAAGACTTTGTACAATCATGTGATATTCGTTCAAGATCAAAAATTCCTCGTCATCGACCTTACGGACTTCTTCAGCCATTACCTATACCAGAACAACCATGGTCTTCTGTTTCTATGGATTTCATCACAGATCTTCCAAGCTCAAGATCTTATGATTTTATATTTGTGATAGTAGATCGTTTCACCAAGATGGCACATTTTGTGCCATGTACAAAATCTATCACAGGTGAAGAAACAGCTAAGTTTTTCATTGATAATATCTATCGCTATCATGGATTACCTAAAGATATCATATCGGATAGGAGAACTCAATTTGTGTCAAGATTTTGGAGGATCCTTTTCAAGATTTTAAAAGTGGACATAAAGCTATCTTCGACTTTCCATCCTCAAACTGATGGACAAACAAAGCGCATAAACCAAGTCTTGGAGCAATATTTAAGGTGTACTATCAACTACCAACAAGATGATTGGACAACCCTTCTACCATTGGCAGAGTTTGCTTATAATAATATGATATATTCTTCCACGCAACAAACACCTTTCTTTGCCAATTATGGCTATCATCCACGACTTGATACTTTTAATTTTTCAAAAGTTGATAATCTTGAAGCAGAAGATATGGCAAATTGGTTGTCAGAGTTACATGCAATAATGAAGACGCAATTGAAGGAAGCTCAAGAACGACAAAAGATAAACGTAGATCTATATCGTAAGGAGCTACCACAACTCAACATGGATGATAAGGTATGGCTACTTCGTCGCAATATCAAGACTACTCGACCTTGTGACAAGTTGGACTATCGTAGGCTTGGCCCCTTTTCTGTTTCTGAACAAATCAACCTAGTTGCATATCGGTTACATCTACCGAAGTCAATGAGGATCTATCCTGTATTCCACGTGTCTCTTCTTGAACCATATAAGAAAGTGGATATACAAGGAAGAAGACAAATGCCACCGCCTCCTATAGAAGTAGATAATAATGAAGAATTTGAGGTGGAAGAGATATTAGACTCAAGGCGGCGCCGAAATAAGCTGAAATATCTTGTTCATTGGTGCGGATATGATATTGGTGAACGCACATGGGAGCCATCTAAAAATCTAACAAATGCATCAGCTAAAGTCAAAGTTTTTCATCAACGACATCCATCAAAACTAAGATGAAAATCTCTCTTATAAAAGAGACAAGATTGAGGCAAGATAACATTCAATTTCCTATCCTTGTTTGTAACTTCTTTGCATTTGTGATGCTAATTAGATGGAGAGCCAACAACCAGCGGATTCAACTCAAGAACCTTCGTTTGTTGATCTGCCCGACGAGACATTACGATTGTCACAACCTTCAAGACGACGCAATCGAGATGAAGATCTTCAAGAACGACATGTTCTTCCTCGAATAGATGGTGAGATTCAATGCGTTTGGTATCACGATTTGGGAAGGGACTCCCGATGTTTGGTGATTTTGCTAGAGGTAGGAACAACTCCTAATGGTATTCCAAATATTCTATTCGAAGGAAGTTACGAAGGCCTCAACAATGATCAAATAAGTCGGTGGTCTTCCCGCCCTGGTATGGGACACTACCAATGGTTGAGAGGTCCTATCAATCATCTTCGAAGAGAACAGAGATCAGAGTATGTGGCAAGTATAATTCGTCTCATCATAAATTTCCTCAACATATGATGATCGCTCCTCATGGAACTCGTCTCTAGAAGGGGGGGTAATGTCACGGCCATAATCATGTAAGCTAATAATTACATATAGAAATAGGTAGAAGTAAGTAAAAGTAGTTAAAAATAAGTTAATTCTATAATATTTAATATAGAAGCTTCCTAAAAACTTCCTAGACGCTGCTTTGACTTCATAGGTGTCTTTAATTGACTTTTTGGATTAGAAACGTGGTCAACAAGTTGGCCATGTGCCACACATGTTGTTAGCTTGAAGATCAAGCTAACTATGTGGCCTACACGTAGAAAAACTTGCCTTGTAAGTAAGGCATGTGCCCTACAAAGTCAACACCTATTGGAGGTCCTATAGAACGTCGCCACGTAGCTCTTAGTTAGATAGTATATATAGAGACAAGAGTGAAGGCTTCTTTACTCTTGTCAACTCCTTTCTTGCTTCTAGTCCAGGTTCAAGAGTCTTTAGTTTCTTGTCTTGTGGCAATAGCCATTCCAGTTTCTTTTTAATATACCAACTTGTTTATATTTTGACTTATTATATCGAGATAGCCTTTTTGTGTATATTTTCCCTCATCGAGTCTTTGTCCTTGACATATGGCTATATGCAATCTAGATGTAATATAAACTATGAAATATTAAAAATAGTATAGATATAGTATTGATATAATATTGGATATGGTTTGATATGGAATAAGTACATAAACAGATATATACATGATATATATATATATATATATATATATATATATATATATATATATATATATATATATGGTATAGTTAATAGATATCATAAGTGGAAATTAAAAACAAGTATCACAAGTGGATATTGCTCAACTTCACCTTCACAACAAAGATATTACTAATAGAGATTCGATTTTGGACCCTATGGTCTTCTTTTCTTTTATTTTTCATATTATGTTCTAGATATCCATATTTTTTGTAGCTTCCTTTAGTGTGCCATTTCAATTTCACATTATTTTTTGAATAGAGTAGTTTTTTTGGAAGGTTGCAATTATACAAGTCTTTTTACTTGGCTTGGCAATAGTAGCAAAGGTGGGCTAGAAGTTGCTCTTAAGGCTCTATATTTTAGTATCTAAGCTCATTATTTCATACTTGCTCTAGTAGTTTTGCCACAAGTGGTGTGTCTTAGTTTTGTTCCTATTGTTGATCTTGGACACAAAGAATTGCAACAATGTTGCAATTGCTTGGTTGTGTGTTATTAACAATATTCCTTTCCTAGTTTTGGTTTTGAAAGTTCCAACTATTTAGGCACCAATAGTAATGCTAGAGTCATGATTTTTGGAATGTGACATACTATATGAGCTTGCAATTATGAATTAGAATAAACTTCTATTAATTGGAAGTGTATTCTAATCCATTACAAGTAAATTAACTATGGGATTTTTAGAATTTTAGCTCTTATTTAAATCTTAATCAATTCAATCTTCCCTCTTCTTAAATCACCAAATAATCAAACCAATATTCTACAACTAATTCACCTTCACCATAATAAATCACTCAATAATTTAATGCCATGATCAAATTTTTTTTTTATAGTTAATTTCCTTAAGTTTATCTTTTATTGTTATTATTATTATTTTAATTAATTTAAATCAAATTCATCTATTGACAATATTACATCTTTGAATGATAATTCATCCATACCTTCATCTATGTTTGAAAATTCATCCATGCCTTCATCCATGTTTGAAAACTCATCCTTGATTAAGTTTTCATCCAAAATTAATCCATTCTAACTTTACTTCGTCTACTATGAATTGACCTTAATCTAAAAATTCACTCCGAGGATGTCACCTTGAATGGTTGCAGAGGAGTAGCACCGAGGGAGGCGCTGGATGCGAAGCCCTTCGAACTGGAAGGCCTGCTGGTTTTCTCCGCCACAGCTCAAATTTCCAGCTTTCCTTCACTTCAATAACCACCTTCCGTAGTAACACACTATTGCAAACAACAAGGACCAAATGGCCCTCTCATAAGACAACAACTACTAACAAAAGCTGAAGTCTATACTCTACAGATGACCGACTATCTAATTATTGAAGCGTCAAAAAACACAACTATTTAACAAGCAACTTCTTTTAATTTTTCTTGCTGAATACTAAAGCGTTTCCAACAATATAGAATCTAGACTACAATGGAGCCTATGAGCCGATCAGCACAAGGATATGCTCTGTCTAGCTAAGCTACAACTAACCTATGATGGTAACCGAGCACACTGGAATTGTCAATAACAACGCCACAGCTGCTCACGGTCAGCTTTTGTATTTTCCGCCTTTGAATTAATCTTTGTCTTACTAAGTAGAAGATTATCTAGATGTTGGGAGTACTGATTCTGAATCCACGTAACAACTACGACTTCCAGATGAGACCACACAATGCCGTGGCATTCTTGTCTTACTCTGGCTACCGCTACTAACGACCGAAAAAAAAAAAAGGACAACTGCAAGCTAGTGCAACTTGCACGCCATTGCCGACTGCTGCACCAATGTTGCATTTAGCCACACCGCCGAGAGAATAAACAACGAGCCTCGTTGCATAGTGACAAATTTTTTCCCAGAATAGAATTTCCAAAAGAAAAAAGCATAAAATAAAAAAATGTAAGCAACACTACCAGAGCCAAATCAAAGAAGGAAAAAAGAACAGAAGCAACGGCGTAAGAACAATCCCGCTTGACACCTTTGTTAGTTGATAGAGGGCAAAAGGCCGCTCAAGGATTAGGAATTTTGCAACTCCAGGACCACGAATTTAACAAGGATTGCGCACGCTAGAAACAAACAACACGGTTGCTTGTTGCCTCACTACACCACGAAGGAAGTACTTCCAGCTCATTGATCGAAGGCGAGCACTTCAACTCCTTGAACAGAGGCAGACGACGGTCACCCAGGGAAGCGACTGACTTCTACGGAACCTGGCATGTAGTCATTATAGATTTACCGTTGACCAATGCACTTGGAAGCTAATCTGCGCTTGAACTAACGATGAACTCAATACGATTTGAGGTTCAAGGGCTTGTCAGGAAGTTGTGTTGGTGATGAATTGCACCAATGTGGAGTGTTATTCTAGGATCAAGATTGTGTGGAGCTCCGAGGATTACAGAACAGAGCAAGAAACACCAAAAGAATGGCAAAAGCACGGAAACTAGGACCCGGTTTTGCCAACTACCAGAACACCCCCAGACAGAAGCCAACCGCAGCAATTCAACTGATCTCCGCCATGGCTCTAGTGATCACTCGGAGGAACTAGGCAGCGACAACCACCGCACCCTCAATTGCAAGGTTGCGCTAGCAAAAATGCAACAGATTAAACACAAAGTCGAGAGAACACCACCTCATCACCTGCCGACAAGGAAATAAAATGTGATTTTGTCTCTACAAATCGCCGCAACAATGTCAAGAGAATCCGCTCCACCATAGATGATGACCATCGAACGGCAGCAGAAGAGAAGGTTGCAGAAAAATGTTGACGCAACCACCGTAGTCACTCCCGGATATCGCAGCACCGCACATGATAATCACAGAGCAAAAACAAAAGGAAACCCAGATAGCATTCCGAACACAGCTGCAGTTTCAGGGTCGACAGCATTGCTTGTTCCGCAGCTCCTTCCTCATCGCAGGGGAAGGAAAAAAAAAATACCACAACTTGAAATTCCACGTAGCACCGCCGCTTGAATCTTGAGCTCGGAAGCCTGCCGCGCCACCTTGAACTCAACACGACGCCAACAGCTCACAGAGCGAGGAAAAACTAACTAGACGATTATCATGAACAACTGATAATGAGTGCACCTCCGTTGGGTACCACTACACGAAACGAACACCGTAACTACACACACGCGTGCACAGAACAACCAGAAAAACATAAGGATGAAGTCCGGGGTCTTTACCCAAAAAATCAGAAATCAAAAAAAGAAAAAAGAAGTAGGGGGTCTGGGCAGCTGGACCCTATCGACAAAGAGGCTGCCGCCGTTCCTGGGCAGTCTCTCGCCCTTCACATCACCTTCTCTTCTCCTTTTTTTTCCTTTGTCCTTTTTCTTTTCTGTCTCTGCTTTTTTTTCTTCTTTTTTTTTTTCTTTTTTTTTTTTTTTTTTTTTTTCTCTCTCTCTCTCTCTCTCTCTTCTTCTTGCTTTTCTTTTCTTTCCCTACTAATTCCTCTCCTTCTCTCTCTCTCTCTCTCTCTCTCTCTTTTTTTTTTTTTTTTTTTTTTTTTTCAATCATTCTATTCTGTTTTATTTGTAAGAACTACCATTGATCCACCATTGATCCACCATTGATCCCCTTCATGATTATTATTATTTCATGGATTGTTTTGAATCTAAGATTCTTCTTCATTTTCAACCTCAATAAAAAAAACCCATGATAATTAATTATCCTTATCAACTACAATCTAATATTAGCTAAATTAAGAAGAAAAAATACCTTTTCATCTTAGGAATCAATATCAAGAATGTTTTCCACATATTATAATTTGCACTAATATTTCTATTTTTTTCTTCTAATTGTCTAAAAAATAGCCTACAAACTCACAAAACCTATGATTTAAAATACAATAAATATATTTTTTATACTAAATATCCAAGTGAGTTAATTTAGTAATTCACAGCAGTGTATCTCTAGCATTAATTCTATTCCTTTCTCTCTTGTAGTGCTGATTTAGTTGAGTGGCTAAAGTGGCATCTATAGTGGTTGCAATTAGGGTGATAAAGTCATCTCATGTAGTAGCACCAAGGTGGCTTCTTCCTTATTTTATTTTTATTTTTTGTCTATTGTTGGTGCACCTTGAAAGGTTGCAGTACAACAACAAGGTGGATATTATAGTGATAGCAGCATGTGATTAGTTAGTTTGCATTCTTGCAATTTTGTAGTGGGAATAAGATTTGTATTTTGTTACAATAGATGCTTGTGTTGGTTGCTAAATTGTGTTGGAGAAGCCTGACTTAAAGATTTGGTAGAATTTCCACAAAGACAACAATAAAAATAATGAACAAGAATCTTTTGCATTTTCTTTTTTTTTTTTTTTTTTTTTTTGAAATCCACTTCTTCAATAAGTTGGAATCCAAGAGTCAAGGTCAATATTCAAAAGTAGGTAAGATTATCAAGATTATATTATTGAGATTTTAGTTTGAATAAAATTATATTATATGAGTTTAAGTCAATTTGGATGAAGTTAGGATTTAAATGGATAAATTATTGAATTTAATGAGTATAAGAAGTAGATGAATTTTTATTTATGGATAAAAAATATTTCTTGAATGAAATTTTAGCCTTAGTTGAACTTAATTACTAGAAAATAAAATAAACTAAAAAACTAGATGGAAATAAAAGCATATGAAACTTCCTTGAATGTATGTGGTTTTTTTAAAATTGATTTATGTCACATGTATAGTTATTGATGGAAGTGTAAGTGATTAATTGAAGTAATATAGAAAACTTACTTGGATCTTGTAATAAGAATTTAGAATGATATTTTTATATAAGAAAACTATAAATTAATAAATAGTTGTGGATTAGAATATATCACCAATTAAAAAAAATTCTTTAGTTTATAATTAGAGAGTTTTAGAATTTATTAGATAAGATATAAATGATAAATATAAAATAATAGAATTATTAGAAAATTTAATTATTATGAATTGAAATAACCTACCAACTAGTAGGGGTTATTTTGGTTCATAAGAAGCATGGCGTCCAATAAGTTTGCTCCTAAAAGTACAGCTTTGGTATTTTCTAGTATTTCTCTTTAACTTAAATTTTTATTGAAATTGTATAATTTATTGTCGATCATTAACAATTAATGCATCAAGCATATTTTATTTATTTATTTATTTTTATTAAGTTTTTCAAACAAAGATCTTTAGATGTCATGTAGAAGGAGAATTTTTAATCTCTTTTTAATATCTTAGGTGTTGACAAACCTATATGAATCATTGTTAAGATTTATTCACTTTTACAAATATTTTTGCATATCCTATTATGAATATACATAGGTATTTTAGTATATACCTATATGATTATATAAAAGTAAATAAAAATAGATTGATTTCATGATACCTTTTAGAAAAGCTTCTTAGAAGCTTTATAGATGCTATTTAGACTTTAGATATGTTTGTAGTTGATTGGTAGATTAGAAACTTGGTCAACAAGTTAACCACATGTTGGTAGCTTGTAGAAGAAGCTAACTATGTGGGACACGTTGTCATATTACGTGCTTTTCTGCTCGAGAACGCGCCAGGCATCTGGTTGTAGAAGGTAGTATAGAGATTCGCTAATATTCAAGCAGTCTATCAGTTTTTGACTGTTGGAATATAGACGATTGTAAGAATATATCGTAAATCTATACGGATATCTTTTGACTGCTCGCCGAAATCTTTTTTGCCCCAGTTGGTAGGTCTCTAGATATTACAGAGAACCCCGAACAACCCAATCTGCTAATCTCCGATACCGCTTTATACTCACAACCTTGTATCCACTGACTGTCTTGTTAGATTAACCCAAAAATTTTCATTCACTCCTCATACTCAAACCTATAGACACCCTTTTAATTCTTCAATCACAGACGTAACTTTGATTTTACAAAACAGTTAAGAGTAATCACATCCACTTCATTAAAAACCCCGATTCACTAGTACAACACTGACTTTCAGCAACGATTGCCTCAGTCTTCTCAAAATCCTATGAAAAGAAAAACCCCAATTCTCTGTCTTTTTTTTTCTGCCCCGAAGCATGAAGCTAGCTCTCTGACCCTTCTAAAAAACTTCTTCTCTCCCCTTCCATTTCTTAACCTATCCTCCCCTTTAACCCTAATTCTCCCCTCTTTCAAACCCTAGCCTCTGAATTTATTCAATCTTCCGTCTTGGATCCGGAATTGACTCCGCCGTCAGAGCTTTCTCCTCCATTTTTACCTTTAAGAGATCTTTTTACTGAAAGAACGTTCCCGGAACAGCACAAAGAATGGAACAGCTTGAAACGGAATCGAAATCCCCGTAATCGGGACCACATTGAGTCGCTCGACCAATTCAGGTCTCATATTGGCTAAGAGGCTCCTAGTAAGACCTAGATGTTCCCGTAATTGGTCCGCATTGGGTTGCCCAACCAAGTCAGGTCTCATATTGGGTAAGAGGCCCATAATATGACCTGGATTGGATGTCTTGAAATTGGATCCAATTGGCTCTTTGAACCAGGCTCACCAGTCTTTGAATTGGTCCTTTCCCTTCCTGTTGACTCCCGTTATTGGAATCGAATAGAGCATTTCAGTATGCCTCGGCTCACTGTAACGGGGTGACTGAACCTAGCCTCTCAGTATTTGCACTGGAATTGGTCGTTGCTCCCAATATTCGAGGTAACTGAACATTAATAAAAGTCCTCTTTCTTTATATTTTCACAGTATACTCGTATTACAACACGACAACGTCATCAATGTCTTCAACCATTTCATCCTCTCTCTCATATCTTGCTCGAGATAGCATGTTTGCTACTAAATTGTCCTTCCCAGTAACATGCTTAAATTCCGGATTTAGTGACTTAATATAAGCAATCCATCTCAACATTGCAATATCTGGCGTTGAACAGTTAGTAATCATTCCAAGCAATGGCAAGCAATCTATTTCAATTACTACTACTGCCCCAATCAAATAGTCCTTTTCAGCTTTCATAGCCGAAACAACTCTTCAAAGTTCTCTTTTGACTTGCGAATATGTATGCAGATAAATACTTAAAACTTTAGCTCCAAATCAAACTGCAAATCTATTTCCACTTGAATCATCTTGACTCATAGCCCATCCATAGAAATTGGACTAGCGTCCACAGTAAGAATCACTAGTCTATTGTACTTATAATCAACCTTTTTCAATATTGGAGGTGACATCAATAATTTCTTTAATCTTTGCATTGCTTGAATATGCCTTTCTTCCCATTTAAATCGGTAGCCCTTGCATAACAGTTCATATAATGGATCTGCTATGTGAGCATAATGAGGGATCCAGATTTGATAAAATATACATGTACCTAAAAACCTACGAACCTCTGTTAAAGAATCACAATCCTCTTTCATCCTTCCAATTGCATCAACTTTAGTCGGATCTGGTTTTCTTCCGTATGATCCACATAAATGTCCAACAATCACAACCTCTTGTACTCCAAATACAGACTTCATACCCGATAATATAAGATGAACTTCTCCAAGCCGAGTTAAAATCTTTTCACAATCTTGTATATGATCAACAACATATTTACCACACCCCCTCTTATCTAAAGTTTCATCCTTGTCTCCTTCTCTGCACCCTTTTATAGGAACATCATCCAAAAAAGACATAGTCTTTTTCGGAATAAAATCTCTCAATACCTTATTCATCCTATTCATCATATACGCAACTGAGTTGGTGGCACCTTGAGTAAGAGTGCACATTCTAACCAATCCAAGTAGTGTCCTCATCGTTGTCATATCTCTACTTCCTTCGGCAAGTTGAAATTGATCATAACCTAAATATAAGTCATTCATTGAATAGATCGCCCTTCCAACAAACGCCTCAGCAAATTCATCCACAATAGATCTAATTCCTGCATTCCTGACAGTTACTGCATTCATCGGTTGCATATCTTGAATAAACCATAGTGACCCATTCTTCTTAGGTACCGTAAACCATTAATTAGAATACGGCGCAAAAGAAGGTTTCAATATTTTCATCTTTATCTTTTCTTTTAATAGTTCCACCAATTTAAGTAAATGTGCTCTCGGTAATGGAATCCATCTTAGATTCCAAGGTACATGCGGTACAGTGAAGATAATCATAGGTGTTATAATATTCGGATCCACACACCCAATTTCATGAGATTCGAAAGCAAACGATCTACCTTCTTTAGCCAACATCTTTTTGAAGCA